CAAATCTCATCAAGTCTCACCCCCTCCAACATAGCTAAGAGCTTTGATTGTGTGCTTGATATTATTTTAGTATAATATGGGTGTTTGTTAGTGTGCAATTTATAGATTTGAGATATGACTTTAAACAATACAAGTACATGTACATTTACTGCTAGTCCATGACTACAAGGCTATGGAAATAGAGTATTAGATCATATTGCCGTGATGATCTCTTTAGGATTTTTGATTCAAAGATGCTCAGTTAGCGAGATCAATAGTGCAAAAATAGTTCATTCATGGAACGAAGCGTGAAACTTTCCACATATCATCAGAATACCATTCCCTTTGATTTAAGAGCCAGAGCCATTTTTGTGGTCCACTAGAATGATCAAAAAATAGTAAGTACCCCCTCCCACCGAATCCCATGGGGGTGGGGAGATATCGAAATATTTTTTTCATAAAAAAATTTCTTTGAATATGGTCATACTACAGTTTTAGAGTGCTATTTTCATGGTAAAGAAATTTTGCAAACATAACAAGATTATTTATCATCGATTTTCATCATTGTTAAAGACTAATCATGGGCGACGCCCACTTTTCATACCTTGAACATTTAGGTTATCAAATCTCTATCATGGGTTGAACAAATGAATGTAATTCGGTTTTCTGGATAACATCAGATACCTTTTTGATGTAAGGTGCTATAATTAATCTTTGCATTCTTAAAGGCTTAGACCATATCACACCCCTGTTTACAAGAAAGAAGAAAGCAACAAATGTCCCAGATCTACAACATGTATCCACTATTCTATGTACATGTATGTCGAGTCTCTATACTCTCCTGAAGAGAACCTATGCTACAGACACAACTCTCCAGAATTTAGATGATGATGTGCTTAAACAGTTTGATGAATGGCGTGCTGACCAAGTGCCTAAACAGTTTGATGAATGCCGTGCTGACCAAAAGAATGTACCAGTCTTCAAGCTTTGGTTTCTGATTATTCAAATTGAAATACTGTGCCTTGACTATGTGAGGGCTATAGGACAGGAGAATTTTCCTCTTTATTTCCAGATGGTTTCTCTTTAATTTTCATAGTTGTTAAAGACCAGTCATGGGTGACGCCCACTTTTCATATGCTGAACATTTAGGCTATTAAACCTCTTTCATTGGTTGAACCAGAACCAGAAGGGCCGCCACAGTCAAAGACTGCAGTCTCTAAATTCTCAAGAGAGCTTATACTACATATACAGCTGTCCAGAATCTAGATAATGGACATGACACCTAGCTCAGTGATACTGATAATAAGAGTGTTGAAGTGCTTAAATGCACAAAATAGGTAAATTTCCTATCCATAATAGAAGACTCATTAACTTGAATATTAACATGTTGATAAAGTGGGCATCGCCCTCGGTCAAGCTTTAATAATGAATATCATATCCATGAGAAATACGGATGCAATCTTAAAAATTGATTTTAAACATTGAAAATAACATATTAAAAATGAATATAGATCATATTTAAAAAAATCAACAAAAGGATTTGATGGGAGGGGGCATTTGCAATTTTTCAGATATCATCAGGACACCATTCCCTTTGATTTAAGAGCCAGAGCCATTTTTGAGGTTCACTAGAATGACAAAAAAAGCACTTTCATCTTTTTGTCGAGCACTGTTTTTTTCCCAGCCTTTGTGGTAATGGATTCCCAACTCAATTGTGAGGGTGAAACAAGGACTGACATAGGTATAATTGCCTGGAACCAACTTATGCAACTTATGGTGGGATGTTCTCAATTTGAGTTGTTTTCTTTGTGAACATTTCTTGTCTTGCAGCATTTACAGTTATTTCATTGTTGTCTCTATTGTATAAAATCGCAACAAAACGTTCAAAGATTGGAATCAAGATATAGTGTCTGAACCTGTAGGGGCATGAAATAAGGGGAGACACATAGTCCTACCATGTCAAAGGGCAGCTGCAATTTCATGGGAAGTGAGATATCTCTAATTTTTTACTTTTCCAAAAGCTATCCATTTTTGAACTTTGAGTTCTGATGATATACTGAACTGGTACTCAGCAAACATATTGACAAGGTCAAAAAACGAAAAACCAGGTGACAAGCTTGCTAATTGACTGGAGATAAAGACACACTACCCTACCTCGATCGCGCATGCGCGAATTCTTTGGCTTTCAAACAGGTCGCTTTTGAGTATATCGACTGCTTAGTCAAAAGGTTAATACGTTTGGTGCTCGGAGTGAATCAATATTGCTATTCGCTGAACTTCAGTGGTGTAATAGTGAAGTCCATGTTCCAAGTTATATGATAGTTGAAGAAATAATGTAAATAATATCGTTTTAAATTTTAAAATATTTGATATGTCTTAGTACACGGTACACAGTTGCAAAAGTTGATCAATACAGGGTACAAGGAATGTAAATTGTTCAATAGTACAAGGAGCGAGAAAGTAAGCTGGTTATACAGACATACTATGTCCCATATCTCATGTACATTTACGTTGCAAACAGCGAAAATAATGCTAAAAAGGCCGCATGTTGATGCTTTGAGGTTTCATCAATATGTTATTTAATCCAAATAAAGTAAACATTATTTTGTAGATTTAGACACGGGCTTTCAGGTCGTATATGCATTTTAGTCATTCAATTAACAAGAACGCTAGATTTGCGTGTTACTGGGGTATCAAATTGAAATAAAATAACAAAATTAAATATGAGCACGTTGAGGAATGACTATCCGCTATCAGTATTAATGACCATCCGCTATTCAGAATAATTAAAATTGCCTGAACACGTGAAGAATCTTTCTATATAACCCCTTGAATGGTCTAATTCACCGCCGTCCTAAAAAACCGATCATTTAAAATGTGTTGCTCAAAACTTAAGAGCATTTTGTTCTTCACGATTTGCTGTATATGTAGCGCTGATATGACGTCGTATTTCTCTATTATTGTAAAAAAAACAATACCATGTATATCGATGTATGTCTTATATGACGTGTTGAATGTCAGATGTTTTTGGATGGTATCTGCTCAAGTAATTTTGCATTTAATCATGAAACGCTCATCACAAGACACCTCGAAACAAACACTATCCTCTTTGTGACAAGAGGAAAAATGTTTCGCAATATGTTATGCCTTACGGCAAAGTCAAGATACATTTCTGGGACGACTTTTTATGCATCGTAAGATTTTAGAAAAACAATTAATTCACAAAAATACATTTGAATAACATACTAGAAAACGTATCCACATATAACACGATGACACGCAGTTTAAATAACAGTTAACTGTTTTTTTTGTTACATATCAATGTAACATTTTCGAAGGGAAACTTACATGCTCCCTGTACGTTGATAGATTTACTGAAATGTATCGTGTATTGCATTTGAGTTTTGCTTCACTGCGCCGACTATTAACTATCTTTGCCTATAATGATTTTTTGCCAACAATATTCTACAAACTGGTTGATGAATCAATTCTATGTCTGGTAGAACACTAGAAATAAATGTAAAATGTATTTTACGTTCAGAAATATGGAATTAAACACACGTCCTCCATTTGCAACTTAGCTGTACCCTGTTTCCCTTTTAAACGTGGTCACGTGGTAGGGTAGTGTGAAAGAGGGAAATTTCCCTCTCTGATAGCCCACACTTAGTTCAGGCACAGTATTTTGATTCAAATAATCTGAAACCAAAACTTAAAGACTGGTACATTCTGGTGGTCAGCACACCATTCATCAAACTTTTATCACTTCATTATCTAGATTCTGGACAGCTGTGTATGTAGTATAGGCTCTCTTGAGAATTTAGAGACTGCAGGCTGTGACTGTGGCGGCTTTTCTGGTTCCGGTTCAAACCATGAAAGAGGTTTAATAGCCTAAATTTTCACTGGTACTGGTACATTCTGTTGGTCAGCACGGCATTCATCAAACTGTTTAGGCAATGGGTCAGCACACCATTCATCAAACTGTTTAAGCACATCATCATCTAAATTCTAGAAAGTTGTATCTGTAGCATAGGTTCTCTTCAGGAAAAAATAGAGACTCGACATACATGTACATAGAATAGTGGATACATGTTGTAGATCTGGGACATTTGTTGCTTGCTTTCTTCTTCTAAACAGGGTTGTGATATGGTGTAAGCCTTTAAAAAGTCAAATGCTAAGATTAACTATAGCACCTAACATCAAAAAGGTATCTGGTGTTATCCAGAAAACTGAATTACATTCATTTGTTAAACCAATGATAGAGATTTAATAACCTCAATGTTCAAGGTATGAAAAGTGGGCGTCGCCCATGATTAGTCTTTAACAGTGATGGAAATCAATGATAAATCATCTTGTTATGTTTGCAAAATTTCTTTACCATGAAAATAGCACACTAAAACTGTAGTATGACCATATTCAAAGAAATTTTTTTATGAAAAAAATATTCCTATATCTCCCCACCCCCATAGGATTTGGTGGGAGGGGGTACTTACTATTTTTTGACCATTCTAGTGGACCATGAAAATGGCTCTGGCTCTTAAATCAAAGGGAATGGTATTCTGATGATATGTGGAAAGTTTCATGCTTCGTTCCATGAATGAACTATCTGCCTGTTTTCTTGCACTATTGATCTCGCTAAGTGGACCAGAAGTAAATGTAAAATACAACCTCTTAGGGGTGCAAGTCCTCATATTCTTTCTTGTACCCCATGGTCTTGTAGATGGAATCCACTTGCAATTGATGCATGAGTTAAAAAAACTTGCATCCATTTGAGCTAATTGAGATTTAAGGGATTCTATGTCAACTTGATTTTAACAACTCAGCATGTACATGTACATGCGAAAGTATTGCCAATCTGCAATTTACATGATGGATACATGTTAAATGATTTTAAATGTCTAAATGATTCGCAATTGTTGTAAATTGTAAATCATGAAAAAATATAAAAACAGCCCATGTGAAGTTTGTACATTGTTTTGCTTCAACTTAAAAACTTAAACATTTAACATTTGCTTTGTTTTCAGAGAGTTTGTTAACCTGTTCCAAGATGTCACTGGTGAGTACTTTCATTATTTCTTCCTTCAAACCTTTTGGGTCGATGTACATGTATATGTATTATCCCTTACAAATTAATCAACTGTTTGGCATTGTTTAATGGATCATCCTGGTCAACTTTCCTGGTCAAACATAATATTTGTTTCAATTTTACATGTTAAAATTAAAAACACAAAAGTATAAACAGTTTTCTCTTCGATCTCTCAGTGAATCTTTACACATTGTTCAATTCTTTTATTTAATTTAGTATATCAACATTGTTTCATAATACCCTTTACTAGTTCTTGGTCAGTTCTTGGTCTGTTCAGAAATTGATTTACTTTGATTTGATGAAAATAGAAAAATACATAGCGGATGTTGTGAATATATTATGTAGGTGCCATAAAGCACAGATAGAAAGAATACAATGTTGTGAATGTATTATGTAGGTGCCATAAAGCGCAGATAGAAAGAATACAATGTTGTGAATATATTATGTAGGTGCCATAAAGCGCAGATAGAAAGAATACAATGTTGTGAATGTATTATGTAGGTGCCATAAAGCGCAGATAGAAAGAATACAATGTTGTGAATATATTATGTAGGTGCCATAAAGCGCAGATAGAAAGAATACAATGTTGTGAATGTATTATGTAGGTGCCATAAAGCGCAGATAGAAAGAATACAATGTTGTGAATATATTATGTAGGTGCCATAAAGCGCAGATAGAAAGAATACAATGTTCTGAATATATTATGTAGGTGCCATAAAGCGCAAATAGAAAGAATACAATGTTGTGAATATATTTTGTAGGTGCCAAAAAGCGCAGATAGAAAAAATACAATGTTGTGAATATATTATGTAGGTGCCATAAAGCCCAAATAGAAAGAATACACTGTTGTGAATATATTATGTAGGTGCCATAAAGCGCAGATAGAAAGAATACAATGTTCTGAATATATTATGTAGGTGCCATAAAGCGCAGATAGAAAGAATACAATGTTGTGAATATATTATGTAGGTGCCATAAAACGCAGAGAGAAAGAATAGAATGTTGTGAATATATTAAGCAGGTGCCATAAAGCGCAGATAGAAAGAATACAATGTTGTGAATATATTATGTAGGTGCCATAAAGCGCAAATAGAAAGAATACACTGTTGTGAATATATTATGTAGGTGCCATAAAGTGCAGATAGAAAGAATACAATGTTCTGAATATATTATGTAGGTGCCATAAAGCGCAGATAGAAAGAATACAATGTTGTGAATATGTTATGTAGGTGCCATAAAACGCAGAGAGAAAGAATAGAATGTTGTGAATATATTAAGCAGGTGCCATAAAGCGCAGATAGAAAGAATACAATGTTGTGAATATATTATGTAGGTGCCATAAAACGCAGAGAGAAAGAATACAATGTAGTGAATATATTATGTAGGTGCCATAAAACGCAGAGAGAAAGAATACAATGTTGTGAATATATTAAGCAGGTGGCATAAAGCGCAGATAGAAAGAATACAATGTTGTGAATATATTATGTAGGTGCCATAAAGCGCAGATAGAAAGAATACAATGTTGTGAATATATTATGTAGGTGCCATAAAGCGCAGATAGAAAGAATACAATGTTGTGAATATATTATGTAGGTGCCATAAAGCGCAGATAGAAAGAATACAATGTTGTGAATATATTATGTAGGTGCCATAAAGCGCAGATAGAAAGAATACAATGTTCTGAATATATTATGTAGGTGCCATAAAGCGCAGATAGAAAGAATACAATGTTGTGAATATATTATGTAGGTGCCATAAAACGCAGAGAGAAAGAATAGAATGTTGTGAATATATTAAGCAGGTGCCATAAAGCGCAGATAGAAAGAATACAATGTTGTGAATATATTATGTAGGTGCCATAAAGCGCAAATAGAAAGAATACACTGTTGTGAATATATTATGTAGGTGCCATAAAGTGCAGATAGAAAGAATACAATGTTCTGAATATATTATGTAGGTGCCATAAAGCGCAGATAGAAAGAATACAATGTTGTGAATATGTTATGTAGGTGCCATAAAACGCAGAGAGAAAGAATAGAATGTTGTGAATATATTAAGCAGGTGCCATAAAGCGCAGATAGAAAGAATACAATGTTGTGAATATATTATGTAGGTGCCATAAAACGCAGAGAGAAAGAATACAATGTAGTGAATATATTATGTAGGTGCCATAAAACGCAGAGAGAAAGAATACAATGTTGTGAATATATTAAGCAGGTGGCATAAAGCGCAGATAGAAAGAATACAATGTTGTGAATATATTATGTAGGTGCCATAAAGCGCAGATAGAAAGAATACAATGTTCTGAATATATTATGTAGGTGCCATAAAGCGCAGATAGAAAGAATACAATGTTGTGAATATATTTTGTAGGTGCCAAAAAGCGCAGATAGAAAAAATACAATGTTGTGAATATATTATGTAGGTGCCATAAAGCCCAAATAGAAAGAATACACTGTTGTGAATATATTATGTAGGTGCCATAAAGCGCAGATAGAAAGAATACAATGTTCTGAATATATTATGTAGGTGCCATAAAGCGCAGATAGAAAGAATACAATGTTGTGAATATATTATGTAGGTGCCATAAAACGCAGAGAGAAAGAATAGAATGTTGTGAATATATTAAGCAGGTGCCATAAAGCGCAGATAGAAAGAATACAATGTTGTGAATATATTATGTAGGTGCCATAAAGCGCAAATAGAAAGAATACACTGTTGTGAATATATTATGTAGGTGCCATAAAGTGCAGATAGAAAGAATACAATGTTCTGAATATATTATGTAGGTGCCATAAAGCGCAGATAGAAAGAATACAATGTTGTGAATATGTTATGTAGGTGCCATAAAACGCAGAGAGAAAGAATAGAATGTTGTGAATATATTAAGCAGGTGCCATAAAGCGCAGATAGAAAGAATACAATGTTGTGAATATATTATGTAGGTGCCATAAAACGCAGAGAGAAAGAATACAATGTAGTGAATATATTATGTAGGTGCCATAAAACGCAGAGAGAAAGAATACAATGTTGTGAATATATTAAGCAGGTGGCATAAAGCGCAGATAGAAAGAATACAATGTTGTGAATATATTATGTAGGTGCCATAAAGCGCAGATAGAAAGAATACAATGTTGTGAATATATTATGTAGGTGCCATAAAGCGCAGATAGAAAGAATACAATGTTGTGAATATATTATGTAGGTGCCATAAAGCGCAGATAGAAAGAATACAATGTTGTGAATATATTATGTAGGTGCCATAAAGCGCAGATAGAAAGAATACAATGTTCTGAATATATTATGTAGGTGCCATAAAGCGCAGATAGAAAGAATACAATGTTGTGAATATATTATGTAGGTGCCATAAAACGCAGAGAGAAAGAATAGAATGTTGTGAATATATTAAGCAGGTGCCATAAAGCGCAGATAGAAAGAATACAATGTTGTGAATATATTATGTAGGTGCCATAAAGCGCAAATAGAAAGAATACACTGTTGTGAATATATTATGTAGGTGCCATAAAGTGCAGATAGAAAGAATACAATGTTCTGAATATATTATGTAGGTGCCATAAAGCGCAGATAGAAAGAATACAATGTTGTGAATATGTTATGTAGGTGCCATAAAACGCAGAGAGAAAGAATAGAATGTTGTGAATATATTAAGCAGGTGCCATAAAGCGCAGATAGAAAGAATACAATGTTGTGAATATATTATGTAGGTGCCATAAAACGCAGAGAGAAAGAATACAATGTAGTGAATATATTATGTAGGTGCCATAAAACGCAGAGAGAAAGAATACAATGTTGTGAATATATTAAGCAGGTGGCATAAAGCGCAGATAGAAAGAATACAATGTTGTGAATATATTATGTAGGTGCCATAAAGCGCAGATAGAAAGAATACAATGTTGTGAATATATTATGTAGGTGCCATAAAGCGCAGATAGAAAGAATACAATGTTGTGAATATATTATGTAGGTGCCATAAAGCGCAGATAGAAAGAATACAATGTTGTGAATATATTATGTAGGTGCCATAAAGGCAGATAGAAAGAATACAATGTTGTGAATATATAATGTAGGTGCCATAAAACGCAGAGAGAAAGAATACAATGTTGTGAATATATTAAGCAGGTGCCATAAAGCGCAGATAGAAAGAATACAATGTTGTGAATATATTATGTAGGTGCCATAAAACGCAGAGAGAAAGAATACAATGTAGTGAATATATTATGTAGGTGCCATAAAACGCAGAGAGAAAGAATACAATGTTGTGAATATATTAAGCAGGTGCCATAAAGCGCAGATAGAAAGAATACAATGTTGTGAATGTATTATGTAGGTGCCATAAAGTGCAGATAGAAAGATACAATGTAGTGAATATATTATGTAGGTGCCATAAAGCGCAGATAGAAAGAATACAATGTTGTGAATATATTATGCAGGTGCCATAAAGCGCAGATAGAAAGAATACAATGTTGTGAATATATTATGTAGGTGCCTTAAAGCGCATATAGAAAGAATACAATGTTGTGAATATATCATGTAGGTGCCATAAAGCGCAGATAGAAAGAATACAATGTTGTGAATATATTATGTAGGTGCCATAAAGCGCAGATAGAAAGAATACAATGTTGTGAATATGTTATGTAGGTGCCATAAAACGCAGAGAGAAAGAATAGAATGTTGTGAATATATTAAGCAGGTGCCATAAAGCGCAGATAGAAAGAATACAATGTTGTGAATATATTATGTAGGTGCCATAAAACGCAGAGAGAAAGAATACAATGTAGTGAATATATTATGTAGGTGCCATAAAACGCAGAGAGAAAGAATACAATGTTGTGAATATATTAAGCAGGTGCCATAAAGCGCAGATAGAAAGAATACAATGTTGTGAATATATTATGTAGGTGCCATAAAGCGCAGATAGAAAGAATACAATGTTGTGAATATATTATGTAGGTGCCATAAAGCGCAGATAGAAAGAATACAATGTTGTGAATATATTATGTAGGTGCCATAAAGGCAGATAGAAAGAATACAATGTTGTGAATATATAATGTAGGTGCCATAAAACGCAGAGAGAAAGAATACAATGTTGTGAATATATTAAGCAGGTGCCATAAAGCGCAGATAGAAAGAATACAATGTTGTGAATATATTATGTAGGTGCCATAAAACGCAGAGAGAAAGAATACAATGTAGTGAATATATTATGTAGGTGCCATAAAACGCAGAGAGAAAGAATACAATGTTGTGAATATATTAAGCAGGTGCCATAAAGCGCAGATAGAAAGAATACAATGTTGTGAATGTATTATGTAGGTGCCATAAAGCGCAGATAGAAAGATACAATGTAGAGAATATATTATGTAGGTGCCATAAAGCGCAGATAGAAAGAATACAATGTTGTGAATATATTATGCAGGTGCCATAAAGCGCAGATAGAAAGAATACAATGTTGTGAATATATTATGTAGGTGCCTTAAAGCACATATAGAAAGAATACAATGTTGTGAATATATCATGTAGGTGCCATAAAGCGCAGATAGAAAGAATACAATGTTGTGAATATATTATGTAGGTGCCATAAAGCGCAGATAGAAAGAATACAATGTTGTTAATATATTATGTAGGTGCCATAAAGCGCAGATAGAAAAAATACAATGTTGTGAATATATTATGTAGGTGCCATAAAGCGCAGTGGGAACAGCTTTAGTTCCAGTAGCAGTAGCAGTCAGAGCAGTGATACAGACATGTCCAGCACTCCCCTTCTTAAACACAACACTGCAGATAAGGTAAGATTAGTCATACAAGGAATTACTATTCATGTAAATGACTTGTCAATAATACTATGTCCTCATAATCCAGCTTAATACTATATATTTAAAGTAGTTTATAACTGTCATTGTAAAATGTCGTATCATTTGAGTAATCACCTGAATAAAAACTTTGATGATTTCAGTTAAGCGAATTAGAAGCAAACTACAGAATGGCTCTGAAAGATCTGCTATTTGACTCAGTTGAAATATCAAGTAAGTAATGAACTATTATAGTCTATGTCACTTGCCCTACATATTTATGTGAATTATGTGTTGATTTTAGCAGGAAACCTTTGCATTTGAGGGTAAACATTGATTTTCCTCATACTCGCCCCAGTTCTGAACGCCCTTCAGATTTTTTCCACCAAGCTTATAATGAATGACCTTTTGGTGATTAGTCTTTGAAGAATCTACACCCATCATAATGAATAAATCAAAAACATGATTGTATCTACACACCAGCTGTTATCTGATTTTGATTATTTTTTATGATTTTTATGTCACCACCATAAGTTGGCGTTCCACGGTCTACATCTATCAAATAGCGTCCTTAACTCCGTCATGCCTAATCGATCATATATGATCGATTTGACGGGTTTATGACGTCACCTGATAAAGAAAAATCTTACCAAAATATAATTGCATCTTTCCACGCTATTTCCCTATAATTGTTATATAAAGTTGTGAATAAATATAAATACATTCATAGAATACTGCTTTGTTCACTTATTTTGACCAATTTTGTTGTTATTGACCAAAAAATAATGCAAAAGAAAAAATTTAAATATTTTTGAAATTATTGATTTCCGGTTCGACCAAGAGGCTGAACCGCGAAATTTAAAATATAATTATTGAAATATCAAGCCATCTAGGGGCAACAGATGCACTTTCTGAAACTAGTTTCAAGTATTATAATACCTAGGGGTATCAGCGAACGTAGAGAAGATGAGCTAGATTGATGAAAAAGGTAAGAATATGTTCGTTTTCATTCAAGTCAATCAAGGCCCGATTTCTGAGAAAAATTCAATTTTCAATCTAAAAATATTTTCTCAATATCCATGCTTTGTGAGATCAGTTCATCAATATTTCCAATTGAAACACATATAGGGTGTAAAGGGTTACTATATTGTTAATTTTACTACCTTTATGCACCTACAAAACCTTGAATGGCAGATGAATTCACTCTGTTAATTTTTATGGCCGATTTTATAGTGGGCGATAATAGGTGAAAAACTTTATTTTTTCACTATTTTTCGTCTTTCCTCACTCTTATAGCTACTGTAAGATGTCATGGCACATTAAAATCTTCTTGCAAGGTGTGTAGGACAATCAACACAAATATATTTTGAAAAATGTTGAGTAGTATAGGGAGGGGGGCATAGGAATTCAGGGGGGAGCATAGGGATTCAGGGGGGGGGGTGTATCAGAAGCCTTTGTTGGGGAAACCCATGGAAGGCCAAGCAGTTTGAGGATTACTTGCATGTTCATGATCTATCTGGTTTATTAGCAATCAAACATAATGAGTACATGAACAAACAGACATTCACAAGCAGAAATTTGCTTTTAACACATCTTTATACATCTATTATTTCTTCAAAACATTGTAGAGTCATGATTTTCATCGATTTGTCAAATATCAGTACCTTATCGCAGATCGTCTGGTTTATTCTAGTGAGTCGTGACAGTATATTATTTTTCTATGCTTCATGTAGTTTATCATTTTTAAAGCTGTTATGAAACAGAACTGGGTTATTAAACATTTATCAACTGAATCTCGGGTAATAAAAATTATTTATTCCTGAATATGGAATTTAGTTGACGGAACAAACCGTTCTTGCGTCATCTTATGACATCGCTATATTTTCATAATACTGTAAAACGGGTATTGTTAGCGAGGGGTAATTGTTAGCGATTGTTAGCGATCGCTATAGTTTCGCTAAAAATTCAATTCGCTAAAATAAACCGGGGTTAAAATAAACCAGGCGCTAAAATTTGCAAATTCCCGGGAAACAACAAGAATACTAGTATTTAAGGAGCGTTTCGTTCAGTGCTCGACCGAAAAATCAACGATTTTAAATGCTACCGTGATTTTGTGATTAGTCAGATGAGATAACAGTAGTTTGGACCAATACCATGTGCGTTAGAAGTCTTACATTTTGATAATTCCTCTGTCATGTCTGTTATTGATTCTTCTGCCATAAATGATACAATTTCTAATGCATTTCGCTAATTTGATTTTTTAAAGATTAATCTTCATTTCGCTAAAATTTCCCGCGCTAAAACCCCCTAAAATTGAAAAATCGCTAAAATTTCCCGGTGTCAAAATTACCCGTTTTACAGTATATGCAAATTAGGCAAAAACAGTATATGAGCAATCCCCCTTAGTATGGCCTATAATATATAATAAAAATTATTCAAGTTAAAAGTTTATTTGTTATAGATTACATATTTCAATTAAACATTTCGACATAATTTTCTGAGATTTTCCACGATTCCTGGAATTTTTGGCTTGGCATCGCAAACTTTAACATAATCTAGTTACACCAAATCTTCCTTATACCCATCATGTAATATACCATTTTAAAGCTTAAATCAAGGAGAACAAATCCATGTTTTTCAAAATTGCAATAATTGAACAGTATTTGAGAAAAACTGTATTGACTGTAGAGATATGACTCAATTTAATGAAATAAAATGCTCAATTTCAGCCTTGTGACGTCACTATGACATCATTATTTTTGCATAATTTATGCAAATTAGGTAAAAATGAGAAACATGGCTAATTCTCTTCATTTTGATATATGACAGTCATATATTTGTATAATATTGAATAAAAAGCATTTAAATTAATATTTAATGCACATTTCACCAATTTTAACCACTTTAAGGATCAGGCGTTAAGGAGTTAACAAATGGTGTTTCTAACAAATGGCAGGTGGTGACATTTTGCATCTTATATTTATATTTTGTAGCAGAAGGATCTAATGCTCATCATTATCTGGGAGATTTCAAGAAAAGCCCAACACCTAGTCAGTCTCAAGTGTTCCGTATCGCACAGGAGATAACGTCCCTGTCAACATCATTACCCATAGATCTCTCATCATCCATATTTGTACGCACAGATGATGACAAGCTCACACTCATGAAGGCCATGATCACTGGGTAAGTAAGGGCTATAAAGCACCGGGAAATTAGGATTTAAATCCCAGGAAAATGGGGCTATGATCTCATGATGGGAAATGATTATTTGATAAGTAGAGGCAGCAATTAGCATGATAAGAGTGAACATCATGATAAGAAACTGGATAAACTGGGTCATAATCCCAGAAGAATAGTGGCGATTATCAAAGTGAAACAGGGGCCATGATCACAGGTTAAGAAGGGGACATTATCACATGTTGTAAGAATGGGTATAATTAATGGTTTAGAAGAGGTCATGATCACATGGCAAGTAGAGGTCATAATTGGAGTGCTAGTAATAAGGATCATCATCACAGAGTAAATATGGCATTTGTGATCTACACATACATTGACATTCGGTAGATATTCTCACTGGATGTTCATCTGGACGTAACATAAAGTTTTTTTTTCTACCTATTTTCAGGCCAGAAGGAACGCCATACTCTGGGGGATGTTTTACATTTGACATATTCTTCCCCTTTGCATATCCCAAGGCACCTCCATTAGTAAACTTACAGGTGAGCAGGAAATTCATTTATTTATATATTTGTAGATGGCAGTTGAACATTAATTGGCTTGACTCATGTTTGATCATTAAAATTAGTAGTTTATCCGAATATTTTTGTAAATTGTAGAAAATGATATTAAAAAATCTACTTGTGGCTGCCATTTTGAATTTATGATTTCAAAATGTTCATCATTCACTACTACCCTATCTAATATTTCCAGTTAAAAGCATCATAAGCTTTCCTTGAAACAGCCAAAGTGGCTCAAGGTAATACAAGGGGTGATCAATAAGTAATTGACAATTTTATTATCCATTGACCAATCTTCATTAATTATTTTCAAATGTTCTGTTGTAGACTACTGGTGGTGGAACAGTGAGATTTAATCCTAACTTATACAAGTAAGTTATATCTATAATAATTTTTTAAGATATGTCAGTTACTAACTTAACACAAAACTTAGATATTCTGATATTTCTTCAGCCAGTTACCTCCTATGTAGCATAGATCAGATTAAAGCTATCAGTTATATGTTAAAAGCAAGAATTATTTTTAATACAGATATAGGTCATATATTATCTTTGGAAACATTGGCCTTTTGAATGTATTCTATACTGTTTTTCACGCATGTTATGTTATTTATTTCATATTTGTGTTGCAGCTGTGGCAAAGTGTGTTTGTCACTTCTAGGGACTTGGGAGGGTCAACAGGGGGAGACCTGGAATGAGATCACCTCCACACTGTTACAGGTAAGTCACCTTATATTTGCAATCATAATCCAAACAGGTAAGCTACATGTCCACAGGTAACCACATCTACACAGGCAAGCGCTGTATTTACATGTAACTCACAAATGTACAACCAAGTGATCATATCTTATTTAGATCTTATTTTAATTTGATTTTTTTGATATTCTAATATAGACATAAAAATTAGAGAAGGGTCGGTCACGGTTCGGTTCGGTTCGGGATGATTCTCGGTTCTTGTCTCTCGGTTCGGTCGGTTCTTAAATCATATACTTAATAAGGTGGGCCTCATAAATTGCAATTGGTGCCACAAATATGGCAACATAAAAAGGTGTTTCACTTTTATTTTGTATTATTAGGGGATATAATTTTATTTTCAATCTTATAAATGATCAATATGGAATGATGATAGCTGATAATCATTGAATATTTATGGAATTAAATAACTAGAATTGAACTATTTGTATGTGGCTATCAACAAGTTGCTTGCCCCGTGTTAGATGGGAGGGATTCCTTTCTAAACTGGGTATGGTTGGGTAAGACCTTTCAATATGTTTCCTCACGGCAGACAGTGTTTTTCCTGAAAAGTAAAATTATATGGATAGCACAGATGTCCTTCAGTTTGGAATAACAGTGCAGTGGGCTAGGGGGTGTTTACCCAAATTCTCAACCTGACTTGGGACCTGAGGTAGGACACATGAAAAAGTGTATATATCAGTCATAAAAAATGTTACTATGAGTGGGTAATAGGAGGCAGTTACGAGATAGGGAATGAATTGAAGTCTAATAAAGATCGCGGTCTTAATTTTTAAAATTAAAAAAATTTACAAAAAGTTTCTATCACAAAAATTGGAAACCTGCAGCGTATTTCAATGTCGTGTTGCACAACCGACATAGGGTAGACGTATTCTCATCGTAGAAACCGAATACTTCCAAGCATCCAACTTAGGCATCGCGGGGAAAGGCTCTATTATGGTTTTACTAGCTCTTTGCCTAAGACTTCGAAAACTGTCCGCCATTTTTTCGAGGTCTCCTCTGCCGAAGGCAGCGCAAAGTAGGAGCGTAGCGACTACTTTGCGGGAGACCTCAAACCATTGATCACGTTTGCTCCTGTAATTATTCACTTCTTCACCTCTTTAAAATGTGATTTCAATCAGTTGATCAAATTTTCGGACTTTGACCTCAAATTCAAATATTAATATTTATAAGAAAAAATACTGACTCATTATTATATTTTTAAAAGTCTTTCAAATAAAGTGAAATGAAGCCAAAATCAGCTAAAATTATGCAATGTCGTAAAATGGCGTGGCTGGAATATGATGCAATCACCTGTTACGTCGTACACTTATTACAGCATCAACAACTAAACAAACAATTAATACAGACTTCACTGATTGGTTTAAAGATTCTTCGCATCATTTGTGACGTCATAAACATGTTACCCAACCAACAACTAAACAAATAACAAATAGGCATATAGGTTCGTTCAGTGCAAAGCTCTTGAATCAGTTATAAACAGGATAATCAACAGATATATGAGAGGGTCAGGCATTTTTTGACTTGGAGACCTCGACTCGAGGAGTTTGCTGCATTTTCTTGTTAAACACAAGTGTTCCCGCGCGAAATAAATTCATGCTGGCAAGTAGAATTATGTTCCATCGAGACGTGGAAGAACAATGAAATATCCAAGGAAACGATTTTATTACCGTATGGATCGTTTAAAGTTGTTCAATTGTCGTTTAAATGGTACTTTCATTCGCTATTTAGATGAAATAGAGCTGTAATTATTTGCGCAAAAATTTGGTATTCATGTTACACTGCACGAAAATAAAGTATTTCCCCGGGAATGATGGAACCGTTTTGGACTCGGTTCTTGGTGATCAGACGGTCCCAGTAGAACCGTGAGGCAAAAAAACGCGGTTAATCGAACCGAACCGTAACCGACCCTTCTCTAATAAAAATACTCTGGATTAGAGCAAAATTTCAAGACTTTTTGGATGACCCTTGTAAAGTTACATATATAAGTGCATACATATAAGATAGTAAATAAAAGACATGTATGAAAACTTGAAACGGTTGAGAAATGTTTCAGGTGCTAGTGTCCATACAATCATTGATTCTTGTGCCAGAGCCTTACTTTAATGAACCTGGCTATGAGCAGGAAATAGGAACAGATGCTGGCAAAAGACACAGTGCTGAATACAATGCAGGTGTGTGTACTGGATACAGAAATAATTTATGATGTTTTTTGTACTATTGTGCTATTATGGTAGTATGGTAGCAACATGGGGTCCAGAGTCCCTAGTGTCCAGTCTTAAATAAAAATTAAATGAAAATATTTAGACATTAAAACAAAAACATATAAAAAGTTTAAGATGATTTTTATTTAGAACTTTTATTTAGAAACTTATAAAGATTATAAACAAAAACAGTACTGTCTAAATTATCTTGTACAACCTAGTGCAGAAAAGACTAGGAATTAAATAGGATCCAAACTGAATCCAAACTCATTGTATAGTAATTCTTTTTTAGATGTGCGAACAAACACAATAAAATGGGGAATGATAAATCAGTTGCAGAATCCCAGCGAAGGTTTCTCCGATGTCATAAAATCACATTTTTACTTAAAAAAAGACAGAATACTTGAGGTAAGTATCAAGATTCAGGTTTTTGTATAGTATGTTGTAAGTTGTAACAATTGTATTTTGAAGTGCAAAATTGAATGAAATTAGGTAGTAAAAGAAAAGAATCAATGAGGATATCTGTACAATAATCAGTTTTAGTGAATATATCAGGACGGACGCCATGTGTTTTTGCACACACAGGTGCACTCTGTTCCATGCAAAAGTTTTTTGATGAGTACCTGTAATGAATCATTCATTTTATCAGCAAAATCATGACAAGACAAAACAAATATTGTACTGTCAGATCAGAATTACTGACAACATTTTCATTAGAGACTTGTTCTTTGTCATTGCAGGAAGTGGAAGGCTGGGTACGAAGAAGTAAAAGCAGTAAATTAGAAAGAGTTGTACAAAACTTAAAAACTGAACTCAATAAACTACAACCCCCTCCTAATCTTGCCAATCTATGTAGCTCGGCAGGGTTACCAAGGCAACAGAAAATTAAGTGAAATATAGTATATTTTCTACATGGGGAGATATAGCAGTTGTTGCCTGTAATAATAAGGTTCATGATACATGGCTCTACTTTGGTTGGAAAGTTCTCATATTTCTGCTTTGAGTAGAAAAGTTGCAACTACACAATATAAAGGGAGCCCCTAGATTTGATCTACAGGGTGTCCCAAAAGCGATCACTTCCCCCACATTGGATCAGGATATTGATACTCCAAGCTGGACATTGTTGTTAGGATATTCCAGGACACCTTGTGGCTAAATGATCTAACTGTACACCGTGTTAAATAATTCATGGGAATATCATTCAAGTGTATAAAAACTGATTTATTGGCTCACACAAAGAACCGACCGTATTCTCTCTAATAGATGCACATACTCTAAGAAACACACACCCTACTTTTTCATGAAAAACTGGCAACTTCAGAGTAACAACTTTGGAGCTGCAGAGTGCATTTACTAGAGAGAATACAGCATATAGGATCACATCATTCACAAGGCCAGTATTGAATTGTTTTTTTCTTTGTATGGCCAGTATTGATAAAAAAACTTTGGTCCGGTCATGACATAATTTCCCCATGACTTTTTGAGGAGTAGTACCTAGGGCCATTTCAATATGTGAGACCGGTGATTAAGACTTGTTTTGAAATCAACAGATATGTTGATGAAGAGAGAGAGGAATACATGTAGATTAATGAAATTAATTACATTTGTTTGACTGGACTTCTAAGCTGACAAAAATTCATAAAGAAAAAACTCTTTATTCCTTGAAGTCTGAATATTTTAGTTAGGATACATCATATATAATCAACAGAATGACTGACTTTTGAAATATACCCCATGTACCACCACATTTGCTAACTTTCAAAAACTTCATGTACATTCATTTAGTAGACTCAATCATTTATTTTGTGGAGCTTATATTTTTTAATGCTTACACAAAAATTTTACAGTGCAGAATTGATGGATTTGTATTCTTTATAGTTCTGGTTGTAGAACAATGCACAGAGATGTTTTAAACGTAGTATTTCAAGTTTAAATGAAACAGGGAAGTTTAATTACAAGTGAAAACCAGTATGGAAAAAAGTGCTAGTTTTCATTATGACAACAGTCAGACAATAATAGACTCATAAAAAATTGACACATTTTTCTCATATTGCATTCTAATTACAAGCTTTTTGTAACAAGCGCTACAATGCACATTAGACATGAGTTGTTGAAATTATCTGACATTGAATTGAAGGTAGGAAAAAAAATTTGTAAAAAGAACTTTTGGCCATGCTTTCATTTGGCCACCAATTTGTCAATCCAGGTGCTTTAATACTGTAAAACTCCTATAATACGTGCTATAACCAGGGGATGCATTTTGTCAAAGTCAATTTTAGCCATACACACATCTCCATTCCATTTGTCGTTAGACTTATTTTTTAAAAATTGTGATAATTTGTAATTGAAATGAATAGCAAGTGTTTATTGGGCGAAGGCATGTCACCATTGACATTTCTTTCATACTACAGGCTGGGTGGTCAAGTTATAGTAGAGCCAATACAATTGTCAGATACGGAGCAGTCATTTTGAATCTCCAAAACTTCGTTGAAGCCATATTTAGTATAAATGAATAAGATGCAATATGTTCTATTAGCGAAACAAAATGAATATGATCATTAATTTTTGTGTTTTGTGTGTTTTCCTTGTGGCAATCAGGTTGATGGTTTCAGTTTCTAATTGATATACAATTCATTCTGTCTTAGTGAGCACCTAAAAGTATGCGTATTATACAGAGCCACCGATGTAACATATTAAGCTTTGGTGACATGAAACTGGTTCGTTTTTCTGAGTTCTGATTTAAGAGGCAATGTCCTTTATCTCAATCACAGGGTCCCAGACATCATCCACTATCACTTTGTGAATGCTGTCTGAAGCCCTGCACTCAGAGGGTGCCTTTACTTAGATTTCAGAATTACATCTTCATTTCCAAATTATTGGGCAATCTCCTAGCATTTTGTCCAGTGTGATCTTGCTTTCTTTCTTGTTTCTTCAAATTCTTGATTCACTTGGATTTCCATATGATTCATCAGTGTTGTTTCAGTACGCTATATGCTGTCAGCTGTCACATTAAAAAAAGTCATGTAAAGAAATATTTATGTAAACTCTGAATGTCAGTGAGACTGAGGTCCCAAGGAAAACTGAATTAACTTCTGCAGTGAAAGAACAATAAACACACTGAGTGACTGCTCACAGAATGGACTTAGTGGCTCTTTAGTGCATCATATGAGAATGCAGGCCATACAGGTTATCTCCCATCATTTTTGCATCACGTGTGCGTTATATAAAGATGAATACAATATCTTGTAAATATCTGAAAAAGTCTAGATGCAATCTAAATTCATGTTTAATATGGCAATATTTCCTAAATTACTAAAGTTTATGGATTTGTAAAAAAGATGGGTTACAATATTTGCAGAGGGGATCGCTTACAGATGGTTCTCACATATACAGACCCCCATGAGTACTGTACATTCTCATTTCAAGTTAACTTGTTTTGTTATTTCATTTACTACAAGTACCGCATGTAATTCTCATAAATCACCAATTGTTGCTAATAAAAACATGACACCATTAACAACAGTGAACAGTAATTATTACCATTAGGGATGGGTCAGTTGCTTGTAACTACAATTCTGTGAAATATGAGGCAGCACTTTCAGTATGGAACAGAACACATCGCTTTTAGTACTTTTCCCCCTATTAGATTGTAAACATGCAAATTCTATCCAAAATTTAATAATAAAAAACTGAACATCAGTATTGGCCATCAATTTTAATTTCAGTTCTCTTCTATCTGAGTGATTTCCATTCTGAAAATGTCCCATACTGAAGGCCGTTCTACTCATGTTCCAAAATTTTTCATTCTGTCCCATCCTTAATTACCATAGGGTAAAGGTTTGACAACCAAAATCTATTTATATTCAATTACAATGATAGGACTTTTTAGTTGTGCTGGGTGTATCCTACAGATAAATTTATAAAGATAAAGTCTATTCCTGTGTAGAGCCCAAAATATTTAAATGACTTAAGTGTAATTCTTTTTTCTTGGTGATAATATTGTATCTGAAATATAATAGGAAATACTTGAAGAAAACGACAATATATACAGAGTACATCCAGAAATAAATAGCTAACAGTTTTCTAAAACTAAAAATTGTGTTGTTTGTTTAATGTGTGCACAAGGAAAGATGTATTTCAATTGTGTCTCACATTCTTCATAGTTAGTTCCATTCTCCACAATTTAAGATTACCAGGAGCCTGATAAGCAATTTTGAACAATATTACATTGTAGTTTTGCGATATCTCTATAGATGTTCAATGTATGAAATTTCAAGTCAATTCAACCATTAGTTTGTTAGAGATGGCAATATTTCGTGTCACCATTTCTTGGTGGTGATGAAACATCTACCTATGGTGCCCAACCCATTTCTGTACAATTATAAGTTAACGTCACCCATTAGAACCAATTAGATTTAAGCTTAACACAGAATAGTCTGGATTCTGACCAATTGTAAAGTGTTTAATTATTTAAGTTATATCGAGCATATTTTGAATGATTTCATTTCATCCACAATTGAAGCAACAGAACTGCAATATCCTCTTGATAATTTTTTATTTATTTTTTTTTATTAAAACCGTTCAAGAAATTTTTCCACTTATAACAAAAAGTTACTAAAAAAGATGCATTACTTTATTTCAAGGCCTTTCATTATGCCACAGTCAGTCACATTTATATTCCTATTCCCGGGAATAGATATGTATTCCCTTGGATAAAGATATGATATCCAAGTTTGGATTGGGGATATGAGATCTGACCATTGGATGTGCATCACCCATACACTATTGAAAATAAATTCTGTTCTAGATCTTCGAAGTTTGTTCCTGAATTCAATACAATACTTCAGAGTTGCTGGGTTATATAATTAATTTATAATTCCTTTAATATCACAATTACATCCTTAGGGGAGCTAAACCCAAGGCAGCCCGTTGTCTATTTGCTTCTGCAATTTCTGGGTCCTCATTAGAACTTGATTTTGAAGACTTATGTTTGTCCCTGTCTCTATGTGATCTGTCTTTGTCTCTATGTTCACGTTTACTCTTATGTTTACGTTCTCTGTCTTTATCATGTCTGTCGTGTCTGTCTCCTGGAATCATAAAGCAATTAAGAATTAAATCACAGTCTACTGTATATTAAATGGCTAAATTCAGTGTTTGAACTTATTCATTATAACAATTTAAATTCAAGTAATAGTGATGAGTCAGCAAACATGTCCAAACTAACATTTGAAAGTCTATAACCGTCAGTGTGTCATGAACCACCACAAGAAAATCAAGAGCTGTCACATAAATGAAACAATGATACCATCAGAATAATGCTAACATTCAAAGTATATGATTATCCATTTGTCAACCATCTTGCTGTATAACCTGAAGATAGTTGGTCAATATGTTAGTTTTGGTGTTTGAATTTCTCATCAACATTGCCTTGGTACATATCTATGATGAATTGGGCAATCTGGCCACATGACTATTTTACCTGATCTGGAGCGATGTCGTCGATCTCTGTCTCTATCTCTGTCTCTGTGTCTCTCACGACTCCTACTCCGCCTTCGTTCCCGTCTATCTCGATCTCCACGATTTTCTCGTTCTCTGAAATACCACACATGCCAGATAAAAATAGAATCCCTATTTGACTGTCACCAGAGTCTAGAATTGCTCAAAAACTTAATACTGTACTTGATGATTTCCTAAAGGTTCACCAGGATGATGGCTTCTAATGTACACCTATCAGCCAAAATTTGGTTTAAACAAATATGGTATATGATAAAATGTAAATATTTGTTAAAAGTATTTTTGATTCACTCACTTCCTAGGTGAGCGACTGCGGCTACGTCTGAATCGTGGTGATGGACTTCTTCGTGGTTTATCGAGATCATAGTTTGCTCTCTTGTCGGGGACATCCTAAAATCACATCAAGCGTATGTACAGTGGCCTCAAAGGCATCACATATCCAGATACTGGATCTCATTGAAAAGAAAATAAGGCAACATAACATACGAAATGTCACCACCTCCCATTTGATACAGACACTGACTGCTGTTACAGATGCTGAATGCCGAACACCAAGGGATTAACACACAACATGTCACCACCTGCCAACCGCTGACACAAAAAGTTGAAGACTACAACAATATGTCACCACTTTTGATGGTGACTTAAATATTGCTTTAACCTCAGTTGAAACCAATTTACATCAATTTGAGATAGGATCTATAAGGGTAAGGGCATATTCTTTTGAAACATTTCAATAAGGTATATGTACCACCCTTTGCATTCGTTCGACTGCACTTCTAAAAGAGAGCTTTGTCTTCACTCTGTCAGTTCACAATAAATCACGGATGACTTTCTATATGGTCATTTCCTCTACATCACCACATAGTTAATGAAAATGTATTTAGCACATGTTCCTTCCACATCGCTGATTAATTGAGAAAGGGTCAGCGTGGTAGATTTGCAATGATTTATTACCCGGGCTGTCACAGGCACCAATCTTTGGAGTGGGGCTGCTATACTGTAATATAGTCTATACTAGGCAGAGGGTAGTTTATAACTAGACACTGCAGGCAGGGTAATGTACCAACCTTTTCCATGTCTTCATCTTCAGAGGAAGATTCAAACTCCTCCAGATCATCATCGAGTGCACTGACTCTAGCATCTAGCTCATTGCCCTCTTCCAAGATCTGACGTTTCTAAACATGAATGAAAACCGTACATTTTAAATCGGATTTATTCATGCAGACTGACATATTTTTGTTTATAAAAATGACCAAAATCTCAGAATCTTTTTTAGCTTGTTTCATTCATTGTCATCCCTGTTTTCTTACTAACTAATATCCAAAAGTTCATATATATTATTTTACTTCTGATCATATCTTTATACACCAAGATCTCTATAAACGTGGAAAGCTATGGTATTTTATGACATCACAAAGGAACCTACTTGTATTCTTGGGAGTATGACATCACATGCACGCTCCTCTCTTAGTAGCTCGTCAATGAACTCATCCATATGTACAAGTTCAAAATCTGTAATACATGATATATCTTCAACAAAAACTGAACTTTATGGACTAGCTTTAAGCGGGCAATTTTTTTTGTTCTCATGATGATGCCCTTGTGGTGATTTGCACTTCGGAAATTGCTAATTTGAAAATTACACTGAACATTTTAAATATATATATTATTAATATAATATATCATTATTATGGTAAAACAATAATTATGAATTTAAAAATTAAAAAGTTTATAATTCATTGCCTTTTATTTTTTAATTTATTTTTATGCTGAATCAAACTATAAACATTGGTAAGGGAATGCCCACTTCACAAACCAATATTATACAAATATTTCATAATATGGAGGTGAATATATGTGCATCTTTCACAAGTGATATTCATGAAGCCTAAAGGGCTGTTGGAATATAATCTTGTGAAAGTTCACCTCAACATTTGCCTCACATTTTTCTCACCTCCCATTCTGTTTTGTCTTTTTATTTTCCTATAGTCATTGTAAAGAGGTTCTAGATATTTATAACAGTCGAGTGAGGTTCCAATTAACCTCAGGTAGTAGGCACCAAGGGCACGGACATACCTGGAATAAAGTAAGCATTTTCCATATAATGTATGTAAGATGCATGTGTACATAAAGTGACTCTATCAAACCTGTAAAGTGGAACACCTCTGTTCGTGGAACACTTTTCAGACCAACTGATTAAATGATAAATGAACCTCATAGAGTGGAACACCTTTTTAGAAATACCAAATATGTTCCACTTAGACAGGTTTTACTGTACTTTTGCAAAATGAAAACTTACTTTTCATCGCTCTGTATTTCCAATAGATTGATAAGCACTCAATCTTTTATTTGATTCAATCTGAAGACAGCTCAAATGGCCCACATGTCAATGAGCTTACAATAAATCATGCGATTCATCCATTTTTATGTCCACTGTATTGAGGACTTTCACTCAAGTTCAAAGTCTGATATGAGACAGTTGTGCCTAAAATTGTTCATAATTCATTGAGCGCTGGGCTAAAGTACTCATACTTTAATTAGTAAGGGTTTCAACGAATAGTTTTAAAAAACATACTTGAAATCTTCGTTCCTGATGAACTCTATGACGATATCTTTTTCAGGTTGGATCTGTAGCATCTTGAGGACAAGACAGAGGAATGGGGTAGGCTTCACATTACCACCATAAACACCTCCAATATACTTCAGCTCCATTGCCTTGTCTACAAGCAGTTCGGCTGAAAACAGAAAAAGCAATCCTATGTCAAGATTACCCAGGCTCACTAGGCTAACTTCAATCAGGGGATACTTAGACCAAGGGGTTCCATCGATCTTGACCATAATTAAAACTTCCTAATACACCCTGAAGAAGTGATAGGCCAAAATCTAGCAGAATTGAGTTAGGAAAAAATGATCCTACTGTACCTTCCAAAATTAAATAAATTTAGTTCCACAGATTTTGTATGGGTCTATTTGTGTAGACATAGATGAGAATTATGTAGAATTGTGTATTATTTTTAAGTGGAAGCTCTTAAACTGGAAACTCCTTTATTGAATAAACAAGCAGTAGTGATAGCAGCATCGATGAACATTTCAATTTGATGCGATACAGACTGTACCCTTATCTAATTCCATAACTGATAGTCTTGCGAGCGTTGAATAGCCACCTACATTATATTTCATAGGTCAAAAATGAATTTGAGAAAGTCCACATCTTTTTTGCCATTGTGAGAACATTTCTGGTGGTGTCTAAAATCAACTGAGGTAAGAAATATATGCATTGCTAACGCCGTTAATTTTGGACTTTGAAATATAATGTAGGCCGCCATTCAACGCTTGCAAGAATATTATCTTGGAATATAAGATATATGGGAGATGCCCCATGGTTGAAGTAGCCCCACACGTCGAAGTTGGACGCATCTCTACCAATTATATTCCATTTAATTATATTCTATTCAAATTCTATCACTGTTAAATTATATATCTGCTTTAAATGGGCTTATTAGCCTTTTGCAGATTATTGACATAGACAACCAGAACAACGGCAACGCCAAAGCGTAGCGAATCCCATCGAACAGAAATGGCTGGCATTTTTACAAACGAAGCGCAAATATCATAAAACAACACACCAGAAAGGCCACCATTTTCAAAATGGTTGCTCACTAGCCAAGTTGTCATCAGAAGAAATAATATGCTTTTAAGTAGCCACCTCTAAAATTTTAAAAAAATCACACACGTACTTGTAAAATAACACACGTAAAAATGGTGGCCATTTTTCAAAATGGCTGACTTCTCCCCAAAGTTTTATTAGACAATGTGCCATGCTTAAACTATTCACACATCAAATATGAACAAAATCGCTCCACTACTTTTCGAGTTAAAGTAAAATACGTTAAAATGGCGGCCATTTTTCAAAATGGCTACCTTCTACCAAAAGCGTCATTAGAAATAGACGGTGTTCCATGCTTATAGTATTCACATACCAAATATGAACAAACTCGCTCCACTACTTTTCGAGTATTAGTAAAATACGTTAAAATGGCGGCCATTTTTCAAAATTGTTTTCAAAATGGCCGCCTTCTACCAAAAGTGTCATAGGACAGTGTGCCATGCTTATAGTATTCACATACCAAATATGAACAAAATCGCTCCACTACTTTTCGAGTTATAGTAAAATACATTAAAATGGCGGCCATTTTTTTAAATTGTTTTCAAAATGGCCGTCTTCTACCAAAAGTGTCATAGGACAGTGTGCCATGCTTATAGTATTCACATACCAAATATGAACAAAATCGCTCCACTACTTTTCGAGTTATAGTAAAATACGTTAAAATGGCGGCCATTTTTCAAAATGGCCGGCTTCTACCAAAAGTGTCTTTAGACAGTGTGCAATGCTTATAGTATTCACACACCAAATATGAACAAAATCGCTCCACTATTTTTTGAGTTATAGCAAAAATCGTAAAATGACGAGTAAAGGCCGCCATTTTTCAAGATGGCTGCCATGTGCTTTTTTTTATATCTACATTTGTAGCATTATTAATGTCCTTTATAATTTTTTTACATTTAAAACATATTGCTATTACAGTTTTACATATTGCACCTAAATTACTGTAAAATCGTCACTAAAATGGCTGCCATTTTGAAATGAGCGGCCATTTTGAAAATCGGCTTTCGAGCAGAACTTCTATCCCCATAGGGTATATGTGTACGAAATATGAACAAAATCGGGCCAATGGTATTTGAGTTATTGCCCGGACGGACGGACGGACAGACGGACGGACGGACGGACGGACGGACGGACGGACGGACGGACGGACGGACGGAGGCGTTCCCTATATCCCTCCGAACTTCGTTCGATGGGATAATTACGAAATAAATCATCAAAATTCGATGGAAATTCTTTATCAAGGTAATTTTCAGGAAATCAGATAGGCCTACAGTGACAACGACCCAGTTCTAGAAACAATAATCACGAAGTCAGATGTTTGTATCATATTTCACGGACCTCTGCCAGATCACCTCCCCTGTGTCTAGGCTTAATAAATATACACAAGGACAAGACACAAGATCTATTTATTTTTCCTTGATTTTGGAGTCAGTTTTTCAATAAATATCACATGTCATACGATGCGTACTGTTGTTAGCTTCAACTCCAATCACTAAAGCCACACATCCAAGAAAACGTATGTTGATAAAAGCATAAAATAAGCGAGCGTATATTTAATGGAGTCCTTCGGCTATCTCCATTGTTCAAATGATTATTCCCGAAGTCAAATGCCTTTTCTGAGAATGTGACGCCACTCCGGATGATGTCACATCAGAGATTACCGTGAAGTCCCATGACGTTTCTTTAAACTCCCGTAGAAACAAGAACAACGGTTTGTAAGGCTACGCGATCCTTTACTTTCATTGGCAATTTGTCGCGATGTGACGTAATTTAAGAGACGATCGACATCGGACAGTGCCGGAAATTACCGAAGCACTATTATCTTTACGCTCTGAAAATTTGAAATAAATGTCCCGGGTAAAGTCGAATTACAGCGTCAATAATGGATATCACTCATGCAACTCCCGTAGAAACAAGAACAACGGTTTGTTAGGCTACGTGATCCTTTACTTTCATTGGCTGTTTGTCGCGATGTGACGTAATTTGAGAGACGAACGACATTGGACACTGCCGGAAATTACCGAAGCACTCCATTATCTTTACGCTCTGAAAATTTGAAATAAATGTCCCGGGAAAAGTTGCAGCGTCAATAATGGATATCATGAAACCATTCAAACTAATACATAAAGAAGAGATTACAGGGTAAATATCGATCAATCAATGTCTGACAGATGGAAAAAATAAAGGTCAGTACGAGCATGGGCTTTCAACTAGAAGGGTAGGCAACTTCCCATATATCATACATGAGCATTGCCTTTGGCTTTTCAAAATTGGAGAATGTACACATTCCAAGAAAATCTTATTTTGTCATTTTTATGGATGATTAAGATAAATAACTCAAAAATAAAAACATGATCATCTACATAATGTTGATAATTTAATAAAAAATGGAATTCATTGTTATTATGACAATACAGAAAGTGAACATTCACCCACAAATTATATATTTTTGGTAATGTGTTCTTGAATAATTACCCACGATGCAATACTTGAAGAAACATCTTGATACCTCTTATTCTTATTGGTCGTTTTTGTTTACTTTTACATGAGATTGAATATATTTTACGTAAAGGCTAGAGTACCGACAATTGTCGGTACTCTAGACTCTGATGTGGTGGCACGCTAGAGGACCGACAAATAAATTGTCGGTACGGGAGATATGCTGTGTTTACACGCTAGAGGACCGACAAATATTGATTTTCGAATTTTCTGGCGCATGCGCAATGCGCGGGGGGGGATATTTCAGATATCATAGGGATATTTTGGCAACAAGTGCAAAACCCGGGGAGGCATTAGCCCCGGTTACCCGGGGATTACCAAACCCAGTCAAAAAATGGTAGCCCGGGAACAGGGAATGGTAGTAAACGTTGAAAACCCAATAAAAAACATGAACAAGTAAGACGTTAGAGAGCTATTAATGCAGAGTAATATAGGAATATCCTATGGTTTTGAAAAAATATCATTTATATCCATGAGTGGATATTGATATCTTCATGAGTGAGCGCAGCGAATGAGTGAAGATATTTGTATCCATGAGTGGATATATTTGATATTTTTGAGAAACAATAGGATTGTCCGTTTATCCCATGGGAAATCATCATCAGCGAAAAAATTTGAAAAATATAATTTGAGAAAAAATTTGAAAAAATAATTGAAAAAATTTTGAAAAAATTTTGAATTTTTTTTTTAAATTTTGATTTAAAAAAAAAAAATTGAAAATAATTAAAGAATGAAAAAAGAAATTTTTTTTGAAAAAATTCGAAACCATCGAATATCACTTTTCAAACCATCGAATATCACTTTTCAAACCATCGAATATCACTTTTTAAGACGTGATATTCGATAGTTTAAAAGTGATATTCGATGGTTTGTGAATTTTTTGCTAAAATATGATATCTTGATCCACATATCAAATATATCTTCATGTGATATTCGATCTATATCCTTGCAACCATGGGATAAACGGCTGTATCTCATACTTGAGTGGGTTTGGGGTAGATATCACCCGGGAATATATATCGTATCTGAGGAGCGGGCAGGATATATTGTATATGTCCCGCTCCAGGCCAAATGCGGGCAGATATAATATATCCATCCCGCTCCCGGGAATTTTTCAAAAGTTTAAAAAAGTTTAAATATCAAAAGTTTTAATTTTTTAATTTTAAAATTTAATTTTTTTAAGTTTAAATGTCACAATTTCATTGTATTGAACAAAAATAATATTACGAAAATGTTAGATATAAATATCTTGTCCTTTGAAAAAGGTGGAAAAGGTTATATCTACCCTAAACCCACTCAAGTATGAGATACACCAGTTATGCACGGTCGGTTTGGATACATGGAATATCCCTTGGGATATACAATACATCTTTCCTCGGTCCCTTCGGTCCCTCGGGAAGATATATTGTATATCCCTCGGGATATTCCCTGTATCCAAAACCTCCCAGTGCATAACCCCTATATATATATTCTAAACAGAAAGGATATTTCTCCTGAGCCGATCAGGCGTAGAAAGGGGCGTTTGCTACCCATTAGATAGAAGAAAATAGCTAGAATGTTTTTTCATTT